TATATAATATATATATATATATATTTATATATATATTTATAAGTTAAATAAAAAGAAATTAATAATTATTCGTGATATTAACTTTGAATTAAACTTTCTTACTTTTTCAGCTTGTGGAACACTTCTAGGAAAACCATCCAACAAAAAACCACGTTTACATTCAGGTTTGTTTAAATTATGATCAATCATATTAACTACAAGATCATCACTGACTAATTTACCCTCATCAATTATTTTTTTAATTTCAGCTCCAAGAGCAGATCCAGAATTAATTTCTGCTCTAAGCATATCGCCTGTAGATAGATGACATACACAATAACGTTCTTTTAATAATGGTGCCTAAAATATAATAAAACATTTTATTAAATAATTTGGATCGATATTTTAAAAATATTAAGTTTAAATTTTATAGATTAAATAAATTTCACCTGTGTACCCTTACCGCTACCAGGTGGTCCTAATAAAACTGCATTAATCCCATTTTTCGGTACATCTTTTGGAAATTCTAAAATTTCTTTTGGTATTGTTTCTACATGCGGAGCCATTTTTTGTTATTAATCACAGTTAATAAAATTTAAGAAGAATAAAATTTACAAAACCGATTATATAAAGTTCACTATCAAGAGTACATAACACTATTATAAATAGTGTAACGAATAAATATCAATTTCCTCTCAATCTTCCAAAAGAATACAACGAAATGGTTCGTTGTATATCATGTATATACAGTTACCTCATCTATCGTTCTCTAGTTAAATTAATATCGATTTAAATCGAATTAAATCGATTATGATTATGATATAGAATTAAATTATAATTTTAGATGTTATAAAATTAACTAATCATTAATAAACAACATTTTTTATTAATTAATTTAAAAAATATAAATTAAATTAAAAAATATAAATTTTATTTATATAATCACATTTATATTATTTTGTCTTTTTTAGATTATTGCAGTTTAGATGTACATTTATCTAGTTATTTACATTATGAAATGATAATAAATAAAATTATATTAAAATAGATTTAAATAACAATATTTTTTTAATATATATATTTTAATGTCATACAAAATATATTAAACAAAATACAATATTAATTATATTAATATTATAAGTTTTAACATATTCATTAAAAATTAATAAACTTTTCTTATTTAAATACAATAAAAATATTATTATACCATCATAATATTAATTTAATTAATTTATTTCAATGTTTGAACAAAAGATTATTAAATTATTTTTTATTAAAATTTTGTTAAAATTTTCAATACTTAATTATATTTTACATAAAAAAAAAATTTTAATATTTCTGTTATTTTTATGTATATATAAAAATAAATTAAATATTAAGTTTATTTAAAAAAAACAAAGAAATTTTTCATTAAAGTGTTATAACTTAACTAATCAATACTTTATACGCAAATCGATAATTTAATTACAATTATTTTTTTTAATTCAATTCAGATTTCAAAGTTTTAAATAAAGCTAATATTTCTAATAATATTACATCATAATATATATTTATATAAAGAGAAAGACAAATGTAAAAAATATTCTTTTTCTATAAAATTTGTCTGCTTATATTTCTAAACAGAAATATATTAATATTATTTTATTTGTTTTAAAAATTATTATTATTATTATAATATCTATGATATATTTGTAATGGAATTATTTCATTTATTGGTATATAACTATTGTCTATTATATATTGTCAATTTATATATCTACAAAAAATTCTAAAATATTCTTATACTAAAGTACATATTTCAAAATAAAAATTAAATAAAAATAATAATGAAAATTGTAAAAAATAAATATTTAAATTGTATTATTTAAAATTTTCTTTGAAAACAAATAATATTATTCATTACATTAAATAATATTAATTAATCAAATTTAAAGCTATATTTTCTTAAAAACATTTAACATATTCTTTCAATTTTATTATAATTCATTAACATTATATTTCAATATACAAAATATCTCATAATATTAATATTAATAGATATGCAAAACAAATAAATTGAATATTGATCATCAAATAAAATATATTCATTCTATCAAATTTTATAATAGTCAATATTAGGACGATATATAATGATAAATAGATAAAAATATACAATAAATTAAATCATTATTATTGTAAATTAATTATGTTTTTTGTTTCATTTTACCAAAGAAAAATATCATTTCATTTGGTCAAAAATGAACATTTTTTTAATAGAATATTAATAATGTAACTATTAATTTTCAATTTATTCAAATTATTCAAATATCATATTTATTTTATAGTCATATATTATAATGTGATTTTACTGATATTTATAGTATTAAAATAAATTATTTGTACTCAATATATATTTATCTTATAATCACAATAGAATTTTTTTATATATAAATAATATATAAATTATATTTAAATAACATTTTTCAAGTAATTAAATTATTATTTCAATTATACACATAAATATAAAATAAAAATAATTATTGCACATTTACTTACAAATTAAAAATTGATATTTAACAATTTCTTATTCAGTTCTTTCACATCTATATAAATTTTCAGTATAAATTATATATTAC